AGCTGTACCCTGCGCCCCCCCTGGGGGTCCTGGCTCTGTCCCACCCTGCCCTCGCCCGTACCCAGTCGTCCCCTGCCAGTGTCAAGCCCCCTGCGCCCGAGGGGACCCCCAAGCACGTCTTCACCACAGGTACAGTGTGGGGGGACATGGGGGGTCCTGTCCTGTTGCGTGCTCCAGCACTTGGAGGGGTCAGGGGTGTCCCTGTCCCATGGGGTCCCTCTATCCCTGGGAGTCCTGCATCCCTTGGGTTGACATGGGGTGCTCCTCTACCATGGGGTGTCCCCGGGGCAGTGGAATCTTTGTGTCCCATGGGTGTCCCATCCCACAGGATCCTCTTGTCCCCTGTGGTTCCCAATTCCTTGGGCTGCTCAGAGATCTCCCTATCCCATGGGATCTCTCTCTCCTATGGGGTGCTACATCCCTTGGGGTGCTTGGGTGGTGTCTCGTGGGATCCCCTTGTCCCATGGGATTCCCAATATCTTGAGGGGTGCCTGGGGCTTCCCCAATTCCATGGGATCCCTCTGTTCTCCTGGGGTTCCCCCAGTGTCCCGCTCTCCCCTGGGGTTGCCAGTCCCTTGGGGTGCCTAGGACTCCCCTTACCCTATGGGATCCCCCTTTTCCCAGGGTTTCCCAATCCCCTGAGCTGCCCCAGTCCCATGGGATCCCTCTGTCCCCATGTCCCTCATTGTCCCTCTGTCCCCTGCCATTCCCCATCCTGGGGGGTGCCCATGTCCCCCAGTGCCCTGCTCTCCCCTGGGGTCTCCCGTGCCAGGGAGTGCCCAGGGGGGTTCTGGGGGTGCTGGTGCCAGGTGTGGTGCTGGCCCAGGTGTGGTGTACGACACGTTCATGCTGAAGCACCAGTGCACCTGTGGGAACACCACCATCCACCCGGAGCACGCCGGCCGCATCCAGAGCATCTGGTCCCGGCTCCAGGAGACAGGCCTGCTGGGCAAGTGTGAGGTGAGGTGGCACCCCACATCCCTGGGGGTCCCCAGCTTGGCTTGGGCAGTGGAGGGTTCATCCCTGTGCCCCTTTCCCAGCGGATCCGGGGCAGGAAGGCGACGCTGGAGGAGATCCAGACGGTGCACTCGGAGCACCACGCGCTGCTCTACGGCACCAGCCCCCTCAACCGCCAGAAACTGGACAGCAAGAAGCTGCTGGGTGGGTGCTGAGGGGGCCTGGATAGCTGGGACCCCCTCTTTGGAGCTGTTCCCCTATTCCATGGGCTCTCTGTGCCCCAGGGGGTGCCCCATCCCTTTAGGTGCCTGGGAGAGGTCGTGTCCCGTGGGGTGTCCCTGTGCCATCCGATCCCTTGAGGTGCCTGGGGGTCCCCCTAGCCCATGGAATCCATCTGTCCCTTGGAGTTTCCCATCCCTTAGGATGCCTGGGGTTCCCCCTGACCCACAGGATCCCCCTATCCTATGGGATCCTCTGTCTCTAGGGGTGCCCTGTCCCTTGGGGTGCCCTTGTCCCCCTTGGGTTCCCTATCCTTTGGGGTGCCCAGGACTCCCCCTAGCCCTGTGGGATCCCATGGATTCTCCTGTCCCGTGGGATCACCCTGTCCCCTGGGATTCCCAATCCTTTGGGGTGCCCAGGACTCCCCCTAGCCCCATAGGATCCCAGGAGTGCTCCTGTCCCATGGGATCACCCTGTCCCCTGGGATTCCCAATCCTTTGGGGTGCCAAGAGAGTCTCTGTATCCCATGTGATTCCTCTGCCCCTAGGCATACCCCATCTCTCAAGGTGTCCAGACCTCCCCCAATCCCATGGGATCCTCTAGTCCGCTGGGATTCCCAACCCTTTGGGCTGCCCAGGGGTCCCCTTATCCCATCAGATCCCTCTGTCCCTAGGGGTACCCCATCCCTGCCCCATGGTGGGGATCCCCCTGTCCCCACTCTCACGCTGCTCCACCCTCAGGTCCCATCACCCAGAAGACATACGCTGTGCTGCCGTGTGGGGGCATTGGGGTGAGTCTGGGGGTGCAGGGGTGGCTCCCTGGGGGTTGCCCAGCCTTGCTGACCCCTCTGTGTGTGCCTGTGGTGCCACAGGTGGACAGTGACACGGTGTGGAACGAGCTGCACTCCTCCAGCGCGGTGCGCACGGCCGTGGGCTGCCTGCTGGAGTTGGCCTTCAAGGTGGCTGCAGGGGAGGTCAAGGTGAGTGTGGGGCTTGCACACTCAGAGTTTCACAGTATCTTAAGGGCTTGGAATGGATCATCTAGTCCCAACACCTTCCACCAGAGCAGGTTGCTCAAGGCTTCATCCAACCTGGCTGTGAACACTGCCAGGGTTGGGGCAGCCACAGCCTCCCTGGGCAATCAGTGTCTCACCATCCTCACAGGGAAAATTTATTCCTAATATCTAATCTAAATCTCCTCTTTCCATTTATGCCCATTACTCCTTGTCCTATCACACCAGTTCCTAACTCTCCTGGGGGCAGTGGCACTTGTGCAAGCTCATGTGTGTGCACACTCCCTTTCTACTCCAGTCTTGTGAGGCCTCACCTGGAGTACTCCACATGGGTCTGGTGTCCCCATGGACATGGAACTGTTGGAGCAAGTCCAAAGGAGGCCACGAAGGTGATCAGAGG